ACAAGTTGACATTGTTTGGGTTGTCTTGATTATGACAACTTGACATTAATCAAAGTGACATTACCAGAAGTTGTCTTTGTCATTATAAGGACATCCCAAACAAATTTAATGTCAACTTGTCATGACAAAGACAACTTCTGGTAATGTCACTTTAATTAATGTCAAGTTGTCATAATCAAGACAACCCAAACAATGTCAACTTGTCATTACAAAAATTGAATGACACTTAATGACAGCAGTCATAAACGTTTATGACATGTACATAATGTTTATGACAGGTTCATGACAGTGTCATGTCATAGTTATGACAGTGTCATGTCACTCTTATGTCGATACCTTCAAGTAGAGTGTTGCCAAAGGATCTTACTCTCTAACATAAAGGTCTACCTGTGCGGGGATCTTTCCATAATGTTGTCAGACACAGAAAAACAGTCTGAGCCTGTCAGTGTCAAAAACAAGACAACATGTCTGACTCAGTACTCAATATGTCGTTCCCATCAGTCACTTGGACACAAGAACATTTAAAAACAGGACCCAGGCTGAAAAATACTGAACTCACTCTGAGGTTAAGTCTCGACCCAGTTCTTGTGACACAACACTGAGCAACAGTGACACACTTTTTTGTTCCCAAAATCAGTGTCGATCAAAACAGACAAATATTGAATGTTCAGACAGTTGATGACGTGTGGACCTGTGTCATCGCAGCATGTGAGGTCAAAGGTCAGGGCTTTGGTGCTGAGTTAATGATTCATATCTCGATCTGACTCTGGGAGAATTATATTTTTCTCTTTATGGACGTGAACATGTGAATTTCTGGAATAAACGTGCTTCACTTGCTGACTGGTAGAAAAATGCGTCACTAAGTAAGAAAGGTAAGATACTAAGATAATCAATGTACGTGCAGGTGCCATCTCAGTAAACAGTGTGAGGTCTAAGGACTGCTGAGGTTAGCGTGTTTTTGGTCAAATATTTAGTTTATCCAGTGTTTATTTTTACAGGCAGTGGTGGAAAGTAACTAAGTATATTTACTTAAGTTTGATGTATTTCCATTTTCTGCTACTTTAAATTTATACTCCACATTTTAGATGGAAACACTGGATTTTTTACTCCACTATATTCATTTGACAGCTTCAGTTGCTTTACAGATTCAGGTTAATAATACAAAATATAATCAGGATATGATGTGTTATTATCACAGGGGGGTTATGAGACAGTTGGCCCCTGGGCACAGATACAAAAGGCCCCACGACGTCCCCTTCACAGGAGCAAGACACAGACTTTGTGCTCTTTTTGTGCTCTATTTGTGGTTGGTAATTTGAGTGTCATTTTGCAGGTGAAGGCCAGAAGGGGCCCCTGGGCCTGTGCTGGGTGGACCCGTTCTGCAATCCATCCATGATTATTATGGTTTAAGATGAGATATGCGGGGAAATCCTAAAACTGACAAGCAGTAAGAAATGCACTATAGAGTGGGGATACATTTTGTGGCAGGTTGAAAATACAGTCTGAAAGAAGAATGTGTGTCCCCAAAAAAAGTTTGCAAGGAAAGAAGAAACTTCTCCATAATCACAAAGGTTATTAAGGCCGGTTTAAATTTGTGCGACAACTCTGTGCAAAGCGTACTGCAGGTAGTTTGATGTGCACCTACTTTGAAACGTTACCACATGACATGTAGGCTGAAACCATTTCCCTTTTTATTTATTTTAATTTCACAGATAAGAAACAATAAAGGTAAGGGCTATTTTCACCCTGGTGCAAATATCAACACATTGCTATTTGTACCAGGGTACAATTAGAAGCAGATGCTATTTGTACCCTGGCGTATAGCAGTGTATGCTATCTTTGAGTGGATTTATGGTTGTGTGCAGACCCTACGCACGTGGCCTATGCCGTTGTGAGCATTTTTACTTAGGTGGTGTGTCTGTGTCACTCTGCAGTTACACCTCCAAAACACTAGTCAGCGGTAGAGGTTTCTGTGAAATCCTGTAAAGTTTAGTTGATTCAAAACACACATTAAACTCACATTAAACATGGCTTAATAGAGACAGTTTCAAACACAAGAACACAAATCAGCTTCACTATAACTCGCAGCATTCACAGACAAACACTTGTCTTTATCTGGACACATTTTCCCCACAAATACAATATGCTAATGTTATTAGCACAAGCCTATGGCATTTTATATTGTATGAATTAGCCTAGCTGCTAGTGATCTCTCCCTCTTCTCATATGAAGCCAGGGACAACAGCAACATTTAACAAAGGTAACGTTACAAAATTCAGCTACATTACAACTCACAAGGTTCACCGACAAAACAACTGTCTTATACTAAACACGTTTTCCAAACAAATACAACATGCTAACGTTATTAGCACAAGCCTATGGCATTTTACATTGTATAAATTAGCCTAGTGACAAGCAGAGATTTCCTCTGCTCATATGAAGCCAGGTCAAGGGGGTAGATTTTGATAAATCACACACAAGACTTAAAATGCTGTTTTTGTGGAGGCTTTTCAGTGTAAAATGCCATATGCTTGTGCTAATAATGTTAGCATGTTGTATTTGTGGGGAAAATGTGTCCAGATAAAGACAAGTGTTTGTCTGTGAATGCTGCGAGTTATAGTGAAGCTGATTTGTGTACTTGTGTTTGAAATTGTCTCTGTTAAGCCATGTTTAATGTGTGTTTAATGTGTGTTTAATGTGTGATTGCATGATGCAGTAAAATATGAACAGAGACATTTAACACATTTTCAAGATATTTTTTATTAAAAATATTCAAAACAGTTTAAAAATACTTTCTATAACATTTAAAATACATTACTGATACAGCTGAAATATCATATGAAAGCTGGTGATGTCTTTAAAATGAGGTTTAACAGCAGCTGCAGCTCGTCTGTTCATCGTTTGTCCTCCAAGACTCTGAAACTACTGTAATGATCGTGTTTGTTAAATTCAGAATTGCTCTTTGTAAGTGCCGCTGCACATCGTGGATTGTGCTTTCACTTAGTGTCACGCAGAGTTCAGTGTCCAAATCACACCGTGAGTATTTCCCTTTGATCTTTTCCTGAGGATCAGTTGGACGTATGAATCAATAAGCACCTGAGGAAAGTTTATTTTAAAGTTCTGGAGGAGACTCCATTTCATCAGTCTGTATAATCTGAGGTCACTGCTCACACTGCCTTTTTGTTCTGCACGCTCAGAGCACTGTTCACACAGTACGGGATGATGCTGACAGTGACCAGAGGCACGGTGGCGCTCTTGCAGAAGGACAGCAGGTAGTAGAGGGCCACAGTGTGCGTGGGAGGCTTGAAGGAGTCAAACAGGTGGAGCAGGAACAGAGAGCTGATGACGCAGCCGACTTTGACCAGCGTGTTGCTGCTCTTCTTGGTCTCAGTATAGAGGGGCGAGTGCAGGCCCAGGCCCAGGCCGAAAAGGGTGCCCATGTTACGCAGGAGGCTGGCGAAGGGCGTGCTGTCCAGGTGGACCCACTCGGGCCTGTCGCACCACCTCTGGGCTTTCTCCAGGGTCCACAGCAGGTCCACACCCACAGCTTTGAGGAGGACGTAGAAGCCGACAGCGAAGGAGGTCAAGAAGAGAGTGGTGTAGAAGTATTTCTTCATGCTGGCGTTGTAGATCCACTGAGTCCTGTTGAAGGCTTCGGCCACGATCATACCTGGAAATATCCAGTGAAATGTCCAGGTCAGTATGATGTGTTAACAGTGAACATAACAGCACACTCCATTGTACCTCCAGTCGCACACCAGAGTTGAAATAAAGCTCCTTTAATGTCACAAAATTTGACTGGATCATTCCTCTCATCTTCAAGAGCATATAAAAAATTTTTGAGATGTTTTCACCCGACAGGATTTTTTGCATAAATTTTCATTTTACGAAAACTTGTTAGACGACTTTATGATGCACAAAAAATCCCTAACAAATTATTTCAGTTTGGGGGTGCAACTGGGCTTGGGCATGGCACTTCAGCTCTATAGCGCCCCCAACCTTCTTTTTGCGTCTGAATGAATTATGACGCCCTTCCTGTCCTCAAAAACTCACAAATCCTGCAATTTTTCTCTTGTCTGTTTTTACGTTTTTTTGTCTATGCCCCAAAACAGAAGCAAGTTCTTCATATGTGAAAAACAACTTGGCAATAAACATGGTTTTATTCTTTTAATTCTTCGTACTGACCTGAAATGACACCAGCAACGACCTGATGGGGGAAGTGGGCGGCGATGAAGACCCTGGAGAGACACACGCACACCTGGACTCCGCAAAACAGCGTCCATAAGGCAGCCTTCAGATACCTGTAAAAACAAAAAAAGATAATTTTATTTCAAAGAAGGCAGCACAACAAATCAACCTTATATAACAATATAACAACACAGTTCTTCTCTGCTGGTCATGAGAACCTCAGCCGCCTGGACGTCAAAACAACTCGTGTATAATCTTCAGGAGTCAATGATCAACCACAGAGCTCAGAGCAGATAGTGTGTCCGTGATGATAAGCTCAGGGTGGGAGAAAATGGAAAACAACTCAGACCACTAAGATTTGAGACTCACCAGTCCTTGTTGGTGGATTTCTTGTTCCCAAACTTCTTCTTGCTGGTCACGATGGCGAGGATGGAGGTCACCAGGGTGTAGTAGACACCTGCGGCGCCCATGGCGTGGCCTGAGGGGCTGCCTGGATGACACAGACACAGAGGGTGGATAATATCAGCAGCTGATTCACTCAAATAGAACAATGACTGTAATGTGGAACAGTCTATTTTAATGTTACCACGGTTACAGACAGAGGTGGAAAGTAACTGAGTACATTTACTTGAGTACTGTGCAAGATGGTGGCAGCTCAGCTCTCCCACAGAGACAGCAACTACAGACATGACTTATAAACAAATATTTAACATCTATTAATGAATGAATTAAAATTTACCTGTAAATGTGTAAATTGAATGTGTCCTTTTTATTTTATTTTATTTTTAAAGTCATACCTACAAAAGTTTTTATATACTGCTATAACTACTTTTATTAATTTATTTTATTTTATTCTTATTTTTTTTAAATACTTTATATTGTCATATAATTTCATGTATCTTACTCATTACGAAGCTCATGTACTGATGACATTTCCTCCTTTTTTTAAAGTGAGAAATTATGTAAATAGGTGTGTCACTCAGTGATACATATGATAATAAACTATTGATATGCAATGATAAAAATAAATAAATAACAACAACAGTTACGGTACAGGTTTGAATTTTAAAGTATGCTATCGTAATTTTGGTGTCATAGAAAAATATCTTTGATTCCATTTCATATCATATTTAAGGTTTTGTCTGCTATATTTCATGGCTCATAATATCCCAGTTTTCCTTCTTTCAGTATTTCAAAAATTAAGAATAAAAGAGAATAATAAAATCATTTAAAAAAGAAAAGAGAAAAAAATTAACAAAAAAAAAGTACCAACACACGCTCAAAAAAATAAAATAACATAAAATAAAAATGATTTAACTACGGAGGGAAGCCTTGCGAAATTTCGTTACCTGAGTTTCATGGCAAAGATCATTCATTTATTCATTGTATTTTACTTCAGTTTTCATATTTAATGGAGGGAATATTGTTCTATTTACATTTATCTGCTATAGTTACAAGGTACTTTTCAAATGATTTCAAGATTTTACATTTAAAAACATATAATAAGTTTATACAATGTGATATAAAACATCTTAAAAATATGTCATGTCTATATATCTACAATACGAATTGCTCTACCAAATGATTATTTCCCCTTTAAACCTCTAAAATGGCCCAAAGAGGTAAAATTATTATTAATATGTCGCAAAAAGTGCAGATTTAATTGTAAATAAATTGTTTTCACTTCTTTCCAAACGACCTAACTGTGTGTGAAGTAGTTAAAACTGTAACATATGATAATTTATCAGCTACAGAAGCTACTTAAAATACACTTTGTTGTTAATACTGATGTATACATTTGAATGCAGAACTTTTTCTTGTAATGGAGTGGTTTTACTTTGCGGTTTTGGCACTTTTATTTGTGGTTTGATTATTTCTTCCACCACTGATTAAAGACAAAACCTGTGCTTTACAAGCAGAGAAAAGCTGGTAACGGCCCTGAATCCCAAAAGCTTCAGGTTCACTGTGTGGTAACTGGTTTCACTAAATAACAACATTAACGGACAGCTTAAAGGCCTTAAGATGGGTCCTAATATATAACCAGATCCATTGGTGTAGATTTTAGGGGGGAGCCGGGGACACGTCCTTCTCACTATGTACAGAGGACTTAATTGAAGGGACATAATTAAAGATGTTTACACCCTAAATTGACACTTGAAAAGTCACCATAATGCAGGAAAGGTAGTGTGACATCCCAAAATTTTCTGGTGGAGGACCCCAAACCCCCCCAATGCATGTGTATCCCTGCCAATGTTGCAACAAAATCTACCCCCTTAACCAGATCTTGAGGCCCCGTGTGTCAAAACCTGCAGCCCACAAAGCTAAATTTACTTGTGTTTACTCAAACTGCCACAAAGCAAAGCTGCAGCTGTGTTCCAGGAGAGTCAGAGGAAAGGGTGGGTTAACAGGAGCCCTGCAGCAGAAACATGAATGTATGTATAGTGTGGTTTCTCACCTGGCCCAGTCTCACAGGTCATGGGGTACTGCTCAATGTGAGGACGGACTGTGTTTGCATAATAAGGCGTCTCATGGACCCACCAGTACGGCCGCTCCCCAAACAGAATCCTGAAGGAGACGAAAGAAACATGCACTCCGTTATAGTCAATAAAAAAAAACATTTAAAGGACATTTAAAGAGTTAAAGGATTTACTGGACTCACCATTTGAACACCAGGTTGAGCCAGTCTCCGATCACAGCCACCCAGATGAGCTTGATGCCCACTGAGGAGCGCAGGTGAAACCACAGCGGGAAGAAGATGAAGAAGGTGTTCCTGAGGTCAGCCGCCCAGGAGACCCAGAGAAACAAACCCTGGGCGTCCTGATAGTTGGTCTGCAGGTAGCGGGTGGTGCTCACCCCAAAACCCTGCAAGGTGTCCATTATAGCATTCATCTTTGCCTCAGAGGAGGGAGAGAAGGAGGGAGAGAAATCTCAGTCTGCTGCTGTGTGACAAAAAAACCCAGACTGTTGCTATCAGTCACTCAGCTGGTTGGTTTTATACCAGAGGGACCCACTACCCAAACGCATGCTCACACTGATCTTTGGACCTTGCACATGTGTAATAAAACACAGGGAGTCAGGAGAGTTTGGGAGGTTTGTCACACAAACAAGCTGAAAAGATACAAAAGACGTCAATTGTTATCTTTGTCGCTGAACTGCTGTACTGTACGGAGACAGAGAGAGGAAGTCAGTTGACCAATAACTGGATTTCACAATTATGACCTAAATGTAATCGATCACAAACAAACCAAGCAGTTTGCAGAAAAATGTGCTGTTAATCAGGGCTGTAGCCATGGAGTCAGCACAGGGGGGGGGCATTGGACGGGAGTCTGTGGGTCATCATAAGTCAAAGAAAAACTAATTTCCTATTATATAATTTATCATAAGCAAGTACATCTATACAGCATACTATACTAATACAGCGTGTATCTCGGCCAAAAAGTTGCACTTGAACACACCACAGCCAACTGGACCTATATTCTGCGCATGTGTGAGAGAAAATAATGGGGGGGGGAGGATTGGGTTAAATTTTAAAATCCCAACTTTCAGCATGAAAATCCATTATTTGAACCTGTAATGCATTTTTATCCTATCCATGACCCTTCAAGTGGACCCTTCAAAATGTCCACCTGTCATTTAGCCATTTGTTATTGTTGCTGGGATAAAAATGCATTACAGGGTCAAATAACGGATTTTCATGCTGAAAGTTGGGATTTTGAAATTTCACCCAGAATGACACCCCCCATGCAAAAAAATCACCTCCCTGTGACCTTTTAATTTGTCTGTAAGGGAGTTTTGAATTTTGGAAATGGACAAAAATGTCTAGGGGTAACAAAGGGGAAAGACCGCCAGGATCAATTGAAGACGCTAGCAAGCCAGTTTGCACATTAACAACTCAACCAGGTGCTATAAAGAACAACGCTGTGTGATAGTGCAACACATTCTCACTCCAACCTCGTCACATATTGACGTTTGGTCATGGACTTTCCACGTCCACATACGATGAGAGGTACCCTGGGTGTGTTGGTTGTTGACATTCTGGGACGCTGTGTAAAGTTCTGCCTGTTACATGCATTGTCTGTTTCAAAATACACTTCTGTTTTCACAGGAAATTTACTGTTTGCATATAGTCTCTTTCAAAATAAACGCACTATGTCGGTACAACACCGTGAATTGACTTTTCTTTCCTCCAACAACTAAAGCATATGCTAAGGTTTAGGAAAAGAGAACCGGGTTTGGCTTCAGAATCGTACAGGACACAAACGCCCCTCTCCTGGGTAAAAGTCGATGTTATTTGGATTCATCCACCACCCCTACTGCCTGGACCCAAACAGACTTTCACCGCCTTAACTTTAATTTTAGTCCCACCATGCTTCCCCCTTACACCACTGAGCACAGTTAAATTATAACGGTGTCCAGCTGCGTATCATGCCAACGTTGAAGGATGTTTTTTTTCATTAGTGTCTGACGCCACATGTCACTGCAAGCCCTGGATTTTGATGACTTTGGAGTGAGACCGGGCTCGCTAGCAAACACAAACAATTACAAAGTGTTCTTGCTAAAGAGCTCAATGGCTAAAAAAATAATCCATCTTTATATAACAAGTTTTTATTTTGATCTCATTACCTCTTGACCTTAGTCTTTTGTTTACTTTCCTCACTTCTGTGTCTCTTCTCAGTCGCTGAGCTGAACTGCCAATCAGAGTGATTTTACTCACCTACGGGCTTCCGCTGTCTCAGACTCTGATTCAACATGCTGAGTTGGCCAAAAAGTGCTGACAAATGCAGACGGTGCGGGAAACACCACAAAAACTAGGGCAACAGACATTCTTCAATGGACCAACAATGACCAACAGCTGACCATCGAATTGGTGTGTCTGGGCCTTGCTCTAACCTGGGGTGGGGGTTTCGAACCCTGGAGTGGGGTAACACTTCTGTGCTGAGTTTGCATGCTCCCCCGTGTCATCGTGGGTTTTCTCTGGCTACTCCGGCTTCCTCCCACAGTCCAAAGACATGCAGGTTAACTGGTGACTCTAAATTGTCCGTAGGTGTGAATGTGAGTGTGAATGGTTGTCTGTCTCTATGTGTCAGCCCTGTGATAGTCAGGTGACCTGTCCAGGGTGAACCCTGCCTCTTGCCCAATGTTGGCTGGGATAGGCTCCAAAGTTTAAGACTTGGGACTTGTCAGTCTTGAGGTGGGACTTGACTTGGGATGTGTCCACCTCAGGAAATATTAAAATTACTGCCTTGCTTTTAATTAAGCTGCAACATTTATTTATTTTTTTAAATATCAGATGTGTCCTCATTCTTCCAGTCGTCCCTCTTTCCTCATCATGCAGTCAGTGAGTAATAATTTGTCAGTTACGTAATTGTGTTTTTTGATGATTTGGTGGAAGCATCTCACTGGTGGAGCGAGCAATTTGTGGGTTACATAAGATGATCAATGATTAAATGATTGGACTGAAGCTGAGAAGATAGTGATAAAACAGAAGCAGCAGATTGGCAGGTTGTAGGTCGTGCACAGGCTGCTGCTCTGTCAGGACAAACAGGGACGTCCCCATAGATGAGCTCATAATTGATCTCAAATTGTGATAAGAATTTCTCACACTGGGGTCCCGACCCTGAGTAGGAAGAAAATAGTGACGCACTCTCCACTATCCCTGGCACACAGACGATTAACTGTGAGCCAAGATCAATGGATTTCACAAGCTTGAGCTCAGAACAGGAGCTTCTAAAAAAATTCTTAGTAATCTGTGATCCGTCAGAGGGGTGGCAGGTGATCTCTGTAGCACAGAGGCGCCTCAAGGGGTGTAAAGGTTAAGGAACCTGTCTGCACTGTCCCAAAGGCAAACAAACTTGCTAGCCTTGAGTAAAGTCCGATGGGGGTCACAAAGAGGCAGGACAGAGGGGGCTGTCCGGCCTGGGAGAGCTTGGCTGCAATCTAACTGACAAAAACAAGACCCAGATTCAGTGCATCACCCTCAGGAGGAGGTTGTGATATCATGGATCTTCTCCACAGTTGGGGGATCGAGCTGGCAGTTCATCTGCAGACCACATACAGCAGGTATGAGGGTTTGTTTAGCCTGGCGTCCTCAGTGGCCGACCTGCACACGGCATTCTTCTACTTCTTCCCGATCTGGTTCCACCTGCGGAGGGACACTGCGCTCAGGCTCATCTGGGTGGCCGTCCTTGGAGACTGGCTCAACTTGGTCCTGAAATGGTAACAATGGTTTAAATGTAATGTTGATCTAAACACATATAGAGAGAAGAGTTGTATTTTGAGTTTCTTGGTGTTTCTGTGGCAGGGTTCTGTTTGGGGAGAGGCCGTACTGGTGGGTCCATGAGACCCGGTTTTATGGAGCAGGACAGGCCCCTTCTCTGCAGCAGTTTCCCATCACATGTGAAACTGGACCAGGTACAGTTCAGACCTGCAGTGGGTCACACGAGGATTCCTGAAGAATTGATTGTTCTATTTATTGATTTATCTTCAGCCTGGTTAATACTAGGGCTGCACGATATGACGATAATATGCGTTAACATTGTTGATTATTGTGATAGGGATGTTACTTAAGATAAATAAAAAGATGTTAAGATGTTGATTTTTGAAATTGGTCCAGTGTTTCGCGAGACGTCTGTAGCCACTGGCCATGAAATACGCTGCAACGTATTTACTCAGCTCATGTTCGCACCGTCAATTTACGTTCGATAAAAGTTTCTGTTTTTGCCAATTAGGGCTCAGATTGTTATGGCCTGGGTTGCAGCCTGTTTCCCAGCTGCTGGATGCAGTGATGTTATTCAATACTAGCCAAATTCAAAAATTGTTGTTCCCATTCGTCACTTAGACACAAATATGGGAAAATAGGGTCCAGGTTAAAAAATCCCAAAGTGTGCTCAGTTATGCCTTTCTTCTGCTTTTAGATTACTGCTCAAATATGACAAATTGCTTCATGAATTTCAAAATATGAAAGGAAGTTATTTCCCAAATTATTTTACAGTCTAGTTTCCTAATGATACTCTCTTTCAGTTGACTCAAAAAAATCCTTGACCGCAATATCAGTCTTTCTCAATGTGTTTTTCTTCCCCCCCGCACATGTTGGCATCGTGATGACAATAAAAAGTACCCTAGTATGGTAAGGCAATTCCTAGGTACATGATCACCAGATCTATCTACAGTGTTTGGCAAGTGCTCGAATCTTTCTTTGAATGAATATGATCTCAGATAACTACGTCATAAACTCCAGTACCTTTGGCCTTTTGTGGTATTTCTTATCTATTAATTTGTTTAAAGGCATTTCAGAATGGATTGCACAATATCTCCTTCTGTCATGTTGTATTTGCTCCAGTTTTCTTCTCTGTGTACATATATACAGTGTTGGGATGTATCTTAGTACATTTACTCAAGTACTTAAGATCAGATCTGGGGTATTTGTATTTTACTTTTTTCTGACCATATAATATTTAACATTATGTGCAATGGAGTTGCACATAATTACATTAGTAAAGGGTCTCAATATTTCATTCACCGCTGCATATACAGTATGTTTTTGCTTTGTCTAACATATAAAGAGGATATTCTGGGGCAGCTGTAGCTCAGGAGGTAGAGCAGGTCATCATCCACAAATTGGCGATACAGATCGGTGGTTCGATCCCAGGCTCCTCCAGTCTGGGTGTAACCTTGGGCGCAACACAGAACCCCAGATTGTGTACAATGCTGTGCAAGTGAATGTCTATGCTGAGTAGCAGGTGGCATCTTGTATGGTAGCCTTGGGAACCAGTGTATCAATGGGTGATTGTGACATGCAGGCGAACATATAGGCGTTTTAAAAGACTCGAAAGGTGCGATACAAGTGCAAGTCCATCCATCCATCCATTTTCATCTGCTTATCTGGGGCCGGGTCACGGGGGCAGCAGGCCAAGCAAAGCGCCCCAGGCGTCCCTCTCCCAAGCAACTTTTTCTAGCTCTTCCTGGGACCCTGAGGT